TAGATCTACTGAAATACACTGCTGAGGGGAGCAGCAGGCAGATCAGAAGAGGTCTGCCACGCCACATGTGTCACCTATCTGATTGGAAATCAAACTTTTGTTGCAGTGTCTGAAGACAGCAGATAGCACTGTGCTTTAACTCATTGTGCCACCAAGAAGGGCCCTGGTTATTGGTATGTTTTTGATTCACATTTACTAACTTCTTTCAAAATGAGTATAGTAGTTATTTAGTTTTCAGTATGACAGTACTCTATTTGGGGAAAAAACTGAAATATCCTCTTAAACTGAGAGCTCTAGAAGACTTAGACTACAAGTTTCACTCTGATACTGAAATTAACCAAAAATAAAACTTTGTCCAAACTTCAGGACATCTTTTGTTTGTTTTAGTGATTGTTACAAAAGCAATATACACAATAGATTGAACTGTAGTTTGCATAGGAGCAAAGGAGTTACTTGTTTGAGAAAGAAGGCCAAATTTTCTCTTAACGCCAGTGTAAGTGGTAGGTACATTCCAGATTGGAGAAAGGACATGTACTGATGAATAACAGTGATCTTTTGGGGCTGGAGAGTAGCAGTAAAATAAAAGCGATGAAGATGGAGTCTTTGAGTGGCCTAATGGTAAGATTCTGGCAGGTGTACATAATGAGAAAGATGCCCTTACATTTATAGCAATAAGAAGGTGTTTGCCTAGGCCTTTGAGTATCAAACTAATGATGGATCTTCTGTATATAGTTTTAGAAGTCACCTTGGTGAAGCAGTATTAATATTGTATATTTTTACTATATTTCTGCCTCCTAGAATTAATCTATTTATTTAGCAAATGGTTGTTAGATAATATGGCCTATTGAAGCATATGCATTTGATTGAAGCAAATGTCCTTAGTATTTTTAAAAAGATTTATTTATTTATGCATAGAAGAACTGGTTACAGGCCAGAGGTGTGGGGGATGAGAGGATTCCCCAGAAAGAGTGGGGAGTGAACAGGCAGATCTCTGAAATACACTGTTAGGGGGAGCAGTGGGGGAGACAAGAGAGGTCTGTTGCACCATGTGGGTTAGTTCCCTGGCTAGGGATTGAACTCAGGTGGCAGCAGTGATAGAGTGATAGTGCTCAAACTACCAGATTTAACCGGGGAGGTCTCCTTTGTATTTTTAAAATATGAAATGTTACAAGTAATAATGTGTTTTGCAAATTCTGTGTAATTTTTAGACCTTGTGCTAATAACGCCAGATGTGTACTTTTAAAGTTGTTGACACCTGAAATTCTGAAGTTAAAAATTAAGGAGTTTTTGAAACAGCTAGCATTGAAGCTATCAAATATTACTAGAATCGCGCCAAAAGGCTCTGGGTACAATTTGAAGAGACTGCTACTGTCCAAAATGGGACAGTTTGAACAGAAATAAGGACAGTCTCTACAATGGATTGAAATACATCCAATATTGTTTAAATCTGTGAAGTCACAGTGATATATATGTAGAGAGAGACTGTGATATTAATTTCACTATTACAAAGATATAAAATAATGAACTCATGAACTCACCATTTTGAGAACTGGTAAATGAATTAAGGATTCAGCCGGACTTTTCTGTGTGAACTATACTGCTAGATAATCAAATAAATGAGGAAAATTTTCTCTTTGTAGAAATAATCTTGCTAATAAATGAAGAAGGAATAAAATTAGAATATCACCATTTTCTAATTTCTCAGTGAATAAATGGTTTCAACACTGAATGGCAACAGGCACTATCACAGGTAGACAAGCAAATATGTGGCTCCTGATGAAATAACTCATTACAATCTACAAGTAGTATTATCCTAGTAAAAGAACCTGAATTTGGATAAAGCCTTTACATGTGTCAATTTATAGAAAACATATAAGAACAGCACAAACACATGGAGTTCAGTTAGCAAGATTCAGAGTGGAAACTACCAGAACAAAAATTCAAGACAAGCAACTTGGTTTCATCAACAGATAATACTAAAAAAGACATCCTGTAACTTAAAAGAATCTTAAAAGACAACGTAGTCTTTAATAGCTGTGGACCCTATTAGTCTCCATAAACATTTCTAACAATTAGAAAATTGAAACTGAAGATATTTAATGACATTAAAGAAATTATCACTAATGCTTTGCTTTGTAATAGTGGTGTGTTTGTTAACAAAAGTTTTCTTAAGAATACAAATTAGGCCCTCTCTGGTGGCACAGCGTGTTAAAGAACAGCACTGCAAGCTAGCCACAGCCACTTAAGTGCGAGTTGTTTCCCTGGCCCCGGAGTTGACCTACATGGGCATCAAACCTCTCCTGTTTCTCCTGCTGTTCCCCTCAGCAGTGTACTTCATCAGTCAGCCTATTCTGCTCCCCACTCTGTCTCTGGTGGTTCCTCTCAATGCCCCTGACCTCTGTCCTGTATCCCAGTTCTATATGCATAAATAAATAAATCTTTTAAAAAATACATAATAAATATTTAATGAAAAATTATGTGTGATATTTGCATTAAGTTAATACTGTTATTGGAGGCAGCCACCATAAGTACAAGAATGGTATCAGATAAAAGTAGAGGTAAAATGGGTAGGGAAAAAAATGATAATTGTATCAAAAAAATTAATATGGAGGTGAGGAAACATTGGTGCAGGTAAAATGAGACAAGATTGACCATGAGTTGGTAACTGTTAAAGGTAAGCAGCGGAGGATACATGGAAGTTCAAACACCTTTATATAATTTCTATATAAAGTATTTCTATATAAAGTACTGTATCAGTGGTTGAAGAGAAAGTGTTAGTGGCACATTGTCTTTGATTCTTACCACAAAAGTTATTTTGAATAAGACTGACAAGACAGACCACCAGAAGCCATGGTGAAGGTGCTTTCTAGAGGGTCGATTTCTTAAGAGAATTTGATTTTAGCCTCTGCTTCACTAATTTCCTTAGTAGGCTACATATTTTAATGTAAGGGAGATAATATTGTTAGGTTTGCTTTGCTTGCCTTTAAGAAATAAGAGGCAAATGACAAAACAACCCTCACTAGCTCTTTAGCTATTATTTGCCAAGTAAGTGCAAGAGTACTTTTACATAGGCAGTTTTTCAAGAAAACTTTTAAGCCTGAAACTTGTGTTGTGCTTATGCTCCCACATATCCCTTGTGTTCTTCAAATTATCTTCAATACTTACAATATTTGATGTTCCTGATGAATTCTTGAATCTCGAAGAAAATGTTTTTGTCTTTATTTCAGAAGGCATATTTCCTCACATGTACTTGCAAAAATTAAAATTTTTGGAAGATTATTATTAAACAGTTAGAAACTTGACTACTTTTCAATTGTCTAATTTCGTTATTTCACCTAAAAGTAGAAATATGTGAGTTATATCCAGACATGGTTTCAAGTTCTAAGTACTCATTGTAAAATAAAAAGAGGGTTACCTTAGAGACAGATTTACTTGTCTCCCAGTTCAGTGCAATTGTGAAATATATTTTTCTATATTTCAGACCTTCAGAGCCCACAGTCAACCCAGATGCAACAGTTGAAGTACTTTGTAATTAGTTTTCTATTCTTCCCTCAATTAAAATTCCTACATACTAAGGAATTATACCAAATATTGATCTAATTATCTGATTTTAAAAAATCAGTGACAGTATAAGTGACTGATTAAAATAAATCTTTTTGACTGAAATGAAAGAAGTCTCCAGCTAGCAGGAAGAGGATACTGGATAGTTTTGAGTAGAAAGCCTTCGTGAATGCTCCCATCTTCAGAGCATTCTATTCTGCAAAGTATATAATAGTATGCCAACATTTTTATTTTAAAAATATATTCATTACATCATCCTTAATTTCTGTACAATGTATGATTTCCCTATGAAATTCCCACCACCAATTCACCCATGCACCATCACCATAGTCCCTTGTGCTCTTCCCATTTCTGTACTGGTCCATCTCCCTCCTCTTCCCCTACAGAATGTCCCTGATCTATAGTTGCCTGATGATTTTCATTTTTACTTTATTATAGTTTTTCTTTTTTTCTGATTCCTTTTTTGTTGTCTCTACATTCACCCTGTGAGAGAGACCATGCCATATTTTTCTTTCTTATTTTGCTCTAATCCCTTAGAGCTACATTCATGTTGCTGTGAAGGATATGAGTTTATCCCTTTTGATTGCTGAATAATATTCCATTGTGTAAATATACTACATCTTCTTGATTCAGTCATCTGTTTTTGGATACCTGCATTGTTTCCATACCATACCTATTGTAAATCGTGGCCCAGTAAACATAAGCATGCAGGTGTCCTTTTGAACTAATGTTTTTGTGTCCTTTGGGTAGATTCCTAGGAGTGGAATTGCTGGATCTTATGAAAACTCCATTTTTAGTAGTTTGAGGAACTCTCCATAATGGTTGGACTAGTTTGCATTCCTAACAGTGTAGGAGTCTACCTTTTTCTCCACATGCTCGCCAACATTTGTTGTTGCTAGTTTTTTAATATGTGCCATTCTTACTGGTGTAAGGTGGCATTTCATTGTGGTTTTTATTTGCATTTCCCTGATTACAACTGATGTTCAGCATTTTTTTCATATGCCTGTTGGCCGTTTGCATTTCTTCTTTGGGAAAGTGACCTTTTAGCTCTTCTGCCCATTTTATGCCAACATTTTTTAAACTTGCAACCAGTATACAAAATAAAGAATATTATATGCCAGAGACCTCTCAGAATAATTGAGTAATGTTTTATTTGATTTTAATATTTTTAAAGTTCCATATAAATGAATGTATAAGTTAGAGATAATAGGAATGTTATTTTGTTCTTTACAAAATGTAGTCTCTGTACACCTAGGGGGTCACTGAAACACCTCTAGTGTCTGGAGTGACTTTTAACATTGTGCATTTGGGTATCTGGCAGTAGTAAAGTTTCTTTATTCTGTGAAGTTATTCTCTCCTTAATCATAGTGGATATGTTTTATTGGGTATCAAATATCTATTACAAGTTTGTTTGAAATTAAGTTTTTGTTTTATTTTAGAATGGCAGAATTTAGTGACATATGGAAGCTTTTCAAACTTGGTTCCCTGTAGTCACCCATACATCAGTACACAGAGACAAGTAAAGTACTCCACAGACGTTCACAAAGGAGGGCAGGGATCACAAACTCTCAGAGTAGAAAAAGTACCATCAATTGATGAAACAGGTAGGTAGACATCTTTTTGATCTTTTTCTCTATATATTGGAATAGTTTATATAAGATTATTTGTTCTGTGGATGGCTGTAGGCTTGCTTGTAAAAGTATCTGGACTAATGTTTTCTTTGCCAGGAGTTATTAAACTGTTATTTTAATGTCTTAATTTTGCTGTTTCTTTTTGACTCAGTGTTGGCAGATTATTTTTTTCTAGAAATTTGACCACTTAAACTTAATTTTTAACTTACTAGAGTATAGTTCATGATACTCTCTTTATGCTTAATTGTATAGGTACTAACATCCTTTTGTATTCCCAGTGGTGGTTATCTTTTATTTTGCCAGAACTCTGTGCATTTTTTTACTTAAGAAAATTTTTTACTTTGAAATTTTGTTTCCCTTTTTATAATTTGTATTTTTACAGTAATTATATCCCTTTTTTTTCCTTTTTGTTGTTTATTCTGCACATTTTTAGCTATCGTTTTGCTCCTTCATTTTGAGCCTGTCTTCTTTGTAAAGTGCGCATTTAAGCCGTGATAACTGGTAAATTTGACAGTATGGTTCTCTCTAATTTTTGGCTTTGTATTAAATGCATATTTAGAATCATTAAATGACAGTGGTGAATTAAGCCTTCTATTGTTACATAACAATTATTGAATTACATCTCCATTTTTTAAAAAAATTAATATTTGCTTGGTAAATCTTTCCCATTCTTTAACCTTGTTTTGTCCAAATTTGATAATTTTTTTTTTAACTCAATGTTTAGTTTGTTTACATTTACTGTAATTCAGTGTTTGGGCATATTGCTGCTTCTGTATCACAAGCTTATGTGTGTGTACGTTATTTTTTAATTTCTCTTTTGTCTTTTAAATTTTTTCTTTTTTTCCCCTCATTTTGTTATCTTCTCTCCCCCAAAGGCACACACATACACTTTTGAAAGTTGTATACCTGTATGTATACTTCAAAATCTAAAGATAGTTAAAAAGTTACTTTTCCTTTTGAAATACACAATTTAGAATGATCCTACCTTCCCTCTCCTCTGAGTCTACCCTTCCCAGCTTACATGGTGTTATTTGGCTAGTATTTTGTGTCTATCCTGCTTTTCTATTTTACTTATTTTGTGTTTCTTTATATTCTATTTAGGTCCTGCTTTCTCTTTGCTTTTAAAAAACCTCTTCAGATTATTTTTTGCTAGCATGGCAATACATTTGAAAATGTTTTATTCAGATTATTTTGAAAGACTTTGATTGTAGCCACAGTTTTGGGGGGTTTTTTTGTATATATATCACCATTTTTTTATCCACTCACCTGTTGACAGGCATTTAGGGTGCTTCCAGCTCCTGGATTTTTTTTTTATTATTAATATAATAGTTTATTTTTACATCATTTTGTGCCTTTTTCCATCTCAGTTGTAGTCCCCATGGGCTTCCCACCTCCAAATCACCCATGTGCCATCACCATAGTCCAGTGCACTTACCCCCACCCCCATTTTTTGATCCCATTCCCTACTCCACCCCCATAAATGTCTCTGGTATATAGTTGTTCATTCCCCTCCCCCCCCTTTATACTCCTGCTATGAGTGAAACCATAGGGTATTTTTCCTTTTCTTTCTGACTTATTTCACTAAGCATGATCCCTTCCAACTTTCTCCATGTTGCTGCAGAAGGCATGTGTTTATCTTTTTTGATTGCTGAGTAATGTTCCATTGTGCATATGTACCACATCATTTTTTTTTTTAAAGATTTATTTATTCATACAGAACTGGGGTACAGGCCAGAGGCTCAGGGGCGGCGAGAGGCTTCACCAGAGACAGTGGGGAGCAGAACAGGCAGATCGACGAAGTACACTGCTGAGGGGAGCAGCGGGAGGGTCAGGAGAGGTCTGCCACGCCACGTGGTCACCTCCGAGGCAGGCAGGAATCAAACTCATGCAGAAGTGGCTTTAGCTTCTCAGTGCTATGCTTTAACCTGCTGCGCCACCAGGGAGGGCCTGTACCACATCATTTTAATCCAGTCATCTACTTTTGGACATTTGGGTTGGTTCCATATCTTTCCTATTGTAAATAAAGCATTAGCTGCAGTTGTAATGTGAAGTGACTAACTATTTCTTTGTATGCACCCCACTTGATATGTATTTGGCTTCTTCAACCTGAGAACTGGTAATTTTCTACAACTGGAATTCTACAACTCTGTCACTTTAGTGTGCACCATAGAAAATAATTACTTAGTCATTTATTCAAGAAGTATTTACTGAACACTTTTAAAATGGCAGCAATGAGAATGATTCTGAGTTCATAATCTCTATTACTGACACTAAAAATTACACAAGTAAATATAATATGTGTAGTAACTTCTGTGATAGAAGAAATAACTGTGTGCTTCAGGAGCACAAGGGAGAGACATTTAACTGAATGTTGTGTGACTGGAGAAGATTCCTTAAGAAAATGCTATCTAACTGGGGATCTAAATGCAAACAGGTATTAGTAAGATGATGTGGACAAGGAACATAAACTTGCAAGTAATTTTTAAGACTAATTTTTTAGAGAACAGAGGATTTGGTGGGATCAGTAGTTTTGAAAGTAGAGGGATGCAGTTAAACAGGTAAGATGTAGTCTGATCAAGGTCTTTTTTAAATTTGGACTTTGCTTTGTAGGCAGAGGGAATCAATTGGAATATTCAAGTGGAAGATTAAAGATTTTAGAAGATAACCACGTGCAGAGTTGAAAAAAACATTTCAAAGGAAGGAGATTTAAAGTAATAAAATGAATATCTAAACTATGTTAATGGATTGAGGTTTTTAAGGGAGTAGATAAACTAAAGAGATTTGAGAACTAAATAATTATGGTGTGGTGACTAAGTCTAGGGGATGAAGGAGAGAGTCAAGTAAAGGATATGCCTGTTTACTGGATTGATTGGACAGTTGTATAGATGATTTCATTGGCTTCTAAATTTAGGAACACCAAACGTAGAGTGTATTTTAATATGAAGATAATGATTCCATTTTGGACATCTGAATTAGATGGTTGGTGTAAGGAATATGTGGTACTCAGGCTCTTTTTTGCCTCATTGCCAAGCTCTACAGCTGCTACCTGTGGCTTTGCTTTACTTCAAGGTTTCATTGTCCACATGTGACAATATGTTGTTGCAGAGGGCACTTGGGAGTGTGAACACAGGGCATGCACACGTCTAATTGTGGATACCTGGACAGAGATGTCAGGGAGCATGGGGTATGCATGTATAAATATGAACACATGAGCTGAGAAGCGAGGGATAAAAGTGGAGATTCTAGGCCTAGGAGGTCTAGTTGTTGCCTTCCTGCTTCCTGGTCCGCCTGTAAGTTTTATTGCCTGATTCAGCATTAAAAGCTTGTTAGAGGCCCTCCCTTGTGGCGCAGTGGGTTAAAGCACAGTAGCCCTAAGAAGCTACAAGACACTTCAGCATGTGCTCAATCCCCTCCTGCCCTGGAGATGACCCACATGGCACAGCAGACCTCTCCTGACCCGCCCACTGCTCCCCTCAGCAGTGTACTTCGTCAATCTGCCTGTTCTGCTTCCCAGTCTGTCTCTGGTGAATCCTCTCACTGCTCCTGCACCTCTGGCCTTTATTCCAGTTCTGTATGCACAAATTAAAAAAAAAAAAAAAAAAGCATGTTAGAGATACTGAAGGCTCTAAAAGTCTCTTTTCATCTGCCCAAATCAAAATGAACCTGCTCAGTATGGAATGGTTGGGTATATACTGTTCTATGAGACATCATCTCTTGGCTCTATTACTCTAATAGTCTTCTCTCTGTGATATCTCTTTCCAGTCTCTTACTTGTTCATTATGTTTCAGCCAGATTAGAAAATACCAAGATTGTTCTTGTCATAAGGCCTTACTTGAGTTGTTTCATCTTCCCAAGGTGCCCTTCTACATATGGCTGATCCCTTTTGGTCCCTACATCTTAGTTAAAATACAAGTTCTGCAAAAAATCACTCAGTCTCAAATAGCTACCATGCCAGTCTTTAATATTACTCTAATTTTATTTCTCTTTGTAAGAAGCAAATAACTCCTGATACTTTCAGTGTTTTATTTCTCTATCTCCCACTTGTTTGGAAGCCCCGTGACTATAGGAACCTCAGTGCCTAAACCAGCAGTTTGCCCAGTGTAGGAGTTTAATATTTGTTTAAAGGCTGAATGCACAGATTTCTACCTGGGGGTAGAGATTTCAGAGTTAGCAGCTAAGCAGTTATACTCAGATGTCACCTTTATGTTTGAAAGAGGAGATGTGATCTTCTAGTATAAAATCTCTACTGAGCACGGGACAATGGACAAAGAGAACCCTGAAAAAAATTCTTGAGGAGCAGCTGTAAGAGACAGGGAGAAAAATCAGAGGGAGAGGTTAGTTTCAGGAGAAGTGTGAAGGATGATAAGTATTTCAGGGCTATCTTTTGGATGTCTTTCACAGGAAAAGACTTTACAGATTTTTAAATAAATCTGTATTTATTTTTATGGCAGCTGTTAGTCCTTTTTCTTAAAGCTCTATCCTCCCTTTGGACTTACTGTTTTAGCCAATTTTTCTTTGTGGTGAGGGAGAACTATTATTTTTGAGTGAGAGTTTGATATTAGAAGATAAAGGAATGGAGAACTTAGTGAATTTGAGATAAAATAAGAGGACAGGCCCTCCCTGGTGGCACAGCGGGTTAAAGCACAGCACTAAGAAGCTAAAGCCACTTCCGCATGAGTTCGATTCCCACCTGCCCTGGAGGTGACCACATGGCGCGGCAGACCTCTCCTGACCCGCCCGCTGCTCCCCTCAGCAGTGTACTTTGTCTGTTCTGCTCCCCACTCTGTCTCTGGTGAAGCCTCTCGCCGCCCCTGTGCCTCTGGCCTGTACCCCAGTTCTGTATGCACAAAATAAATAAATCTTTAAAAAAAAAATAAGAGGACATAGGCAAGTGTGCTAAGGGTGAACTATGCTTGCTCTTCTGAGTGAACAGTGACTAAGAAAAAATATTTAATGTTGGTTCCACCATAAAAAGTGTTTGAAATTGGGGACCTCCCTTGTAGCATAGGGGTTAAAGACACAGTGCTATCAAGCTGCTGCCAACCACTATAGCACAGGTTCAATCCCCAGCTGGCTAGGGAGCTAACCCACATGGAGCAGCACACCTCTCCTGACTCTTCCGCTACTCCCCTCAGCAGTGTATTTTGGTAGACCCACACCTGTTCTGTTCCCCATTTTGTCTCCCGTGAATCCTCTCACCTCCTGCATTTCTGGCCTTCACTGCAGTTCTTGTATAGGTATCTTTAAAAAAACAAAGTCCTTTAGTAGATTTCTTTTTTCTCTTTTGACTGGAATCAAAACATTAATTTTATTTTCTTATATTGGTCTCTTTTTTTTTAGGATTTGCTTAAGCAAAATTAGATCTTGTTAGCCATCATATAGACAGCAGGTAATTGCCTGATTGGAAAGATAATGTTTGTATTTAAGGACTTGAGATAGACTTTTGAATAATTCAAATCACATGATAAAGTTAGGAGCAGCTCATTAAGAGGCAGAGACTTGCTAAAGAATCCTTAAGTTTTTAAGGAGCATTCAGATGTTTTAAATTTTAGTAAAATTAGTTTTAATTTTGCTAATGACAGCAGATGTGTGGCAAAGAGCCAGGCCTTGATCTTAAACTGTCTAGAGACAGAGTATCAGGTTATTTATTGAAATCATAAAGATTCTGCTCAGTGATACTGTGTAAGTATATTAAGGTGGTGGTGTGCAAAATAAGTATTTGTACCTGTGTCTGAGCCATCTACTGGCATTTTTTGTGATTCTTAACATAATTAGTAACATCTAGGCAGTTTGTAATGAGAAAAATATACAGAAATATTCTTACAGCAGCTCATTTTATGTGATTTGGTTGAATCACTTTGATCATTTTAGAAAGAAGAGCTGTCTCTGAAACTTTTTTTAAAGATTTATTTTATTTATGCATACAGGAACTGGGGTGTATGCCAGAGATATGTGGGGGTGGGAGGTGAGAGGATTCATCAGAGACAGAGTGGGGAGCAGAACAGGTGGAGTGACTGACATACACTGCTGAGAGGAGAAGCGGCCGAGGCAAGAGAAGTCTGTTGCTACATGTGGGTTCGAATTGGTGTTGCAGTGGCTGCCAATAGCTTCATAGAGTTGAGACTTAACCCCCTGTGCCACCAGGGAGGCCCTTCAAATGCTAGTTTTACATAAAGGCAATATAAGCAAGCAGTTGAGTGTAGACTAATCAAGATGACTTGGTTCTGAGTCCTGACTGACTCTATAAATAAAGTGTTAACTGTGAATTTGGGAGAAGTTCTACTTTACTGCACATAAAATTTGCTCATCTATAATAGAAGCTCATGATAATAGTAATGGTACTCAAAGCAATTTGTGAGATTAAATAAAATGACTTATAAGTCATACAGTACACATAGTACATGAAACATGGTAAATGCTCAGTAACTATTAGTTAATTAGTAAACTCTAAGTATGTATAAATAAGAGAAAATATTTTAAGGGTGAAATTCTTATCAGAAAATATTTGATGCATATAAAAGAATATATCCAGTGTACCTGGAAGTTACAACACAGTTTTTTTGAAACTTGGAAATTTACCACTCAACCTAACAACCTTATATAATTTACCACATTTTCCTCACATTGTCTTGCACAATATGAATGCATGTGACTTTCCTGAATTTTGTGCTTCAGTCCCTTGATTTTAAAACCAGAGAGGTTTTGACATTTGTATATATCCCTAATTGTTTAACTTTTTTTTGTACTTTATTGTGGTAGCTGATTGTTTTGTGATTTAGTTTTTCCGTTAAATTTTTGTTGGTGGCCCTCCCTGGTGGCGCAGTGGGTTAAAGCACTGCACTGAAAAGCTAAAGCCATGTCCGCATGAGTTTGACCCCCACCTGCCCCGGAGGAGATCCACATGGGGCGGCAGACCTCTCCTGACCCGCCCACTGCTCCCCCTCACCAGTGTACTTCGTCGATCTGCCTGTTCTGTGCCCCACTCTGTCCCTGGTGAATCCTCTCACCCTCCGTATCTCTGGCCTGTATAATGAATGAATGAATAAATTTTTGTTGCTGAGATTTATCCTGCATGTGTAGTTCATTAATTTTCGTAGTGATAATTATAGCATGTACTTTTTAGAGCTGTTGTGTGAGTTAAATGAGTTGATAAATGAAAAATGGTTAGAATAGTGCTTGGCATATGTTAAGAACTCAAGTCATTGTTATGTTTATTATAATTCACTGCTGTATGTAATGTATGAATGTGGCATGGATTATTTATTTTGCTTGTGGGTATTTGGGTTTCCAGTTTGAAATAGCAACACAGTGCTGGGCATTCATATACTTCTCTCTCCTTGTTCCTTTGTACACATTTCTGTATAAACCAAGTATATTGACCTAGATATAGAATTGCTAGATCATAAGTTTACAACTATATTAGATAATACCAACTTGTTTACCAAAATAATTATGCCTGTTTATATTTCTACCAGTGGTGTAAGCTCTTCTTGCTCCATACTCTTGCCAGCATTAGGCATTGCCATATTTAAAAAAATTTTTTTAATTTGATGGTTGTAAAATAACATTTTGTGGTTTTGTTTGCATTTGTTAACATGTTATTTTGGCTTCTTATATTTATATTCATATTCATATTGGCTATTTATATGTCCTTTCCTGGATAGTTTTGTTCTTGTCTTCTACTCCTTTTTTCCAATGGGTAATTTGTCCTTATTGATCTGAAGGAATTAAGTATTCTTGAGTATGTACTCTTCATTATTCTCCTTGATGGAAATGAAGTACCTTCTCCCAGTTTGAGGGTTTTTTTTCCCCTTTTTTTGAGGTGTATTTTGATGAAAATTTGTCTTGAATTTTAATTAAGCAGAATTTATCCACATTTCCTTTTGTTTGTTGTATGCTATTTAAGAACTCTGTCTGCACCATAAAAATACTCTATATTAATCATCTATGAGACATGTAAATGACCTAATATTTAATTCTTTTGATCTACCCAGAATAGCTTATGTTGGAAGGTAGTTTGAAGTTTCCTTTTAATTTTGCAGTGGGGTGATGGATGATTGCACATTGTTCCATTAACCACTTAATAGTAGTTATTTCTTCATTATGTATTATTTCTATAATAGTTTTGAGTAGAAGAATCAACAGTGTGTCTTTATTTCCATGTTTTAAGAAAATGCGTTAAAGTTTCATCTTTGAATACAATGTTGGTTTTACTTTTTATGGAAATTCCTTTGTATTCTAAATTTCTAAAGGGGTTTGAAATTTATATTGGTGTTGAATTTTATTCAATACTTTTCTTCTGAAAGCTTTAATCTGTTGGTGAGGGGAATTTATATTTAACTACATTTGTATGTCTAGGCTAAATCCAACTCAGTCCACGATAAATCATCTTTTTTTATGCATTTGTCAGATTGTTAGCTGATATTGTTTGTAGTTTGTATGAAAACATCCTGTAAATTTTTTTTAATTAACTTTTACAGCAGAAAATATAGGTGCAGAACTCAAAGCTCCTCTTACGAAACAAGCTCTCCAAGTAAGAGGTAAATATTTTATTCTTTTATAATGGTATTTTTATTTTTTAAATATTTCTTTATTTTAAAGATGTATTCATTTATTTCTGCGTAAACGAAACTGGGGTGTAGGCCAGAGGTGCAGAGAGGTGAGAGGATTATCACAGACAGGGCAGAACAGGTGGATCTACTCAAATACTCTGCTGAGGGGAGCAGCTGATAAGACAGGAAAGGTCGGCTGCACCTTATGTGTTCAATCCCCTGACTGGGGATTGAACTCAGGACATTGTGGTGATAGTGCAGAGGCTTAACCCCTAGGCCACCAGGGAGGCTGCTATAATTGTATTTTTAATTAAATACATAAATTACTTCATATGTTATATCTACTTAATATTAGTCTAAGGATATATAGTTAATTTAAATATATTGACCATAGGGATTTATTCCCATAATTTATGAGCTAATTTTCTTTTTTTTAAAATAAGATTTATTTACTTATATACACAAAAACTGGGGTACAGGCCAGAAGATGAAGGGGGGGAATGAAAGGATTCACCAGAGACAGAGTGGGGAGCAGAACAGGCAGATCTACTGAAGTACACTGCTGAGGGGAGCACCAGTTGAGACAGAGAGGTCTGCTGCGCCATGTGGGTCAGCTCCCTGGCCAGGGATCGAACTCAAATGGCAGTGGCTGCAGATAGCTTCATAGAGCTGCTACTTAATCCCTTGTGCCACCAGGGAGGCCCTATAAGCTAATTTTCTATTGAATTTTGTTTTGTATTTTGGCAACAAAATTCAGTATCGTGTAGTAAATGCTTTTTTCAAAAACCCAAAGGTGAAATGGCAAGTAGGAAATATCAATTGCTTTATCAAATTACTTTATAAAAGTAATGTGAGTAAAAAACAAAAAGCCAACATCTTTCAACTTCATTTTGCTCAAATCCAGGTAAAATTGGTTATTTTTCTCTGATTTCCTTTTTTAGGAGAAAATGAGTAATGAAGGACTTTATTTTTTGCAACTCTGTTCTTGAAAAGAAACTTGTGTGTCCCAGTGAGCTATAGCTCATCTCCAGCAGCACATTTCACAGAGGCAGTACTAATATGTAACTATGATGAGGAGAACTGTGGGTTTGGTGTCAGATAAAACTGGGTTCAGTTTGTGGTTTCAGCACCTATTAACTTTATGACCTTGGCAATTTACTTGACTTTAGTTTTTCTCAATAAGAAGGTACTAAAATAAGATGGACCTTCTCTGCTATAATAACTTTAAACATGATACATGACATATAATCACATTAAGAATGATTAATGTGAGTCTTCCCTGATGGCTCAGAGGGTTTAAAGCACAGCACTATGAAGCTATCTGTAGCCACTGCAGCATAAGTTCGATTCCAGCCTGGGAGGTGACTCACATGGCGCAGCAGACCTCTCCTAACCTGCCTGCTGCTCTCCTCAGCAGTGTATTTCAGTAGATCTACCTGTTCTGCTTCCCACTTTGCCTCTGGTGAATCCTCTCATCTCCCCCACACCTCTGGTCTGCACCCTAGATCTTGTATGCATAAATATAATAAATCTTATGAAAAAGAATGATTAACATGATAGTTACAATTATCATCATCAATAATCTGGGTGAGGACAGGCCAGTGGATTTCTAGACACTTTAAATAAAAATTTTAAGAGTTTTTTTTGTGTGTGTGTTTTAAATATTTTCAAAGAGAGATGTAATTCTCCCTTATACTCCAGAGGAGTATAATATGAATTTTATTTTGAATTTTAGCATTATTGAAGTAAAGCAGGCTAAAGAATTGAAATTCATACAAAATTAAGCCTAAATTTAGAATCTTTTTTTTAATAAGATTTTTTTCACTGAACTTGATTTTTAAGTGTTCTTATTTCTTGTACACTTGATTTTGATAGTGTTTTTTAAAAGTTTTTTTTTTTCATTTATTTATGCATCAAGAGGTGCATAAAGAGGCTAGAGGTGTGGAGGAGGTGAGAGAATTCACCAGAGACAGAATGGGGAGCAGAACGGACCTACTGAAATACACCACTAAGGGGAGCAAGCTAGTGACACAGGAGAAGTCTGTTATATCATATATGGGTTTGCTCCCTGGCTAGAGATTGAATTTAGGAATAGAGGCCATCACAGTGATAGCATTGAAACTTAACCATGGCCACCAGTGAGACCCTCTATTTTTATTTTAAAGATTTATTTATTTATGCATACAGAACTGGGGTGCAGGTCAGAGGCACAGGTGCGGTGAGAGGCTTCACCAGAGTGGGGAGCAGAACAGGCAGATCTATGAAGTACACTGCTGAGGGGAGCAGTAGGCGAGTCAGGAGAAGTCTGTTGCGCCATGTGGTTACCTCCGGGGTGGGGATCGAACTCATGCTAAAGTGACTTTAGCTTCTTAGTGCTGTGCTTTAATCCTCTGCGCCACCAGGAAGGGCCCCTCTATTTTTTTTTTTTAAATGATTTCACTCCATGCTATAGCTATAATTTATATTATAAACTTTAGTTCATTTTCATTTAGATCCTAGGCAGTTTAACTTGTGTTAAATTAACAGACCAGTAATGCCCATGCAAGAGCCCCTAGACAAAGTGATGCATTTTGGCATCATATATACATGGGCTATGGAGATAAAAGTTCTGTATCTGTAATATAATTCTGTCTTACTCTGTATTTGCAAATTTTTGTTTTTTAATGGCTTTAAATACTTCAGGAAAAAGAAGTATTCTTTGGAATTCATTAGCAAACCCCTAAGATATGTTCATTTTAAAATGTGACTTTAATTGTGAATATTTTTATGATTTCCTGTAATTTTTGTTTTAGTCAAAGCCGTCCTTAAAAAGAGAGAGTATGGACCAAAGTACACTCAGAATAATTTCATCACTGGTGTCAGAGCAATAAATGAGTTCTGCCTTAAATCCAGGTATGCAATTTTTAAAAATTCTGATACTTTTCTCTAATATAAATATTTTTTTTCCCTTAGGATGTGTAATGTGCTACCATTTATATGGAAATTTTTTGTGGTTCCTTCCAGGATTGAGGAAGTATTTTTATTCACTTAAAAAGTGTTAAATGTGCTAGTTTACTAAACTGAGTACTGCTTCAGCATTAGAAATACTAATCTTTCCAGGCTTTATAAAAAGGAAACTTTTTCAAAAACCTCTGTCACAGGAATATTTTAGGAGTTTTATTGTTATATTACTATGTAGCAGAATTATCGGGCAGATTATTTACATATTTGTGTGTTTGACTTTTTAAAGTTTTGCTGCTTTGGCTAGCAGAATTACCTAATTTAGTTAGGTACAGTTATGTTCATACTCTGACTGTGGTACCTGTTGCGTATGTATTATTTTTACCTTGTGGTACCTTTTGTTATTAATTTTCTTGTTATAGAGATTGATATTATATTTGTCATTAATTTTAAAATCTCCTCTGCCTTTGTGTTTACTTGCACAAGCCTTATTTATGTGGGATCTTACTTGGTTTGTTAGGGAGGTTATTTGACCTTTTACCCTCTCATGTTCACATCCTTTTTCATGCAGCATCAAGAAATAAGGATTCCTATAATCAGTTTTGTAACTTATATAACCATTATAACAGTAATAGATGATAATATTAATATAAAACTGTATATCAGAGTATTTCATTGAATTCTTACAAGCATTTTATGAATCCAGTAGGCTAGGTGTTGTGATTTCTACATTATAGGCCAGGTAACAATAAAGAAGTTAGTGGATGACTGAGCTCATTTAGTGAGTGGCAGGAATCTACAATAAGTGTCTTTTTATACTTGACCCAACTTTTTTTTTTTTTTTTTACAACAGTTTATTTTTACATCATTTTGTACATTTTTTCCATCTAAATTGTAATCCCACGGGTTTCCCATCACAAGTCACCCGTGTTCCATCACCATAATCCCGTGCACTTCCCTCCTCACCCCCACCCCCCCGTTTCTGATCCCATTCCCCACTCCACCCCCGCAAAATGTCCCTGGTATATGGTTGTTCATTATTCTTGTTATTTTCTCGCCTGGTCGATTATACTCCTGCTATGAGTGAAACCATCCGGTATTTTTCTTTCTCTTTCTGGCTTATATCACTAAGCAAGATCTTTTCCAGCTCCATCCAAGTTGCTGCAAAAGACATATGTTTCTCTTTTTTGGCTGCTGAGTAATGTTCCACTGTATATATGTACCCCATCTTTTTTATCCAGTCATCTACTTTTGGGCATTTGGGCTGCTTCCATGTTTTTCCGATTGTAAATAAAGCAGCAATAAACATGGGGG